CTCACTTCATCTTGTGAGAGTAACCACAGACCGTTAGCTTCTGCTATGCTTTCCCAACAAATGTGTTGGGAAGGTTGCAGCTCGGCCTCTTTTCTCTTCCCAGTGATTACGAATACCTTCGCGAACACTTCCGCGAAAAGCACTTCCTGTGCGAAGAGGGCCGGTGCAGCACGGAGCAGTTCACTCACGCCTTCCGCACGGAGATCGACTACAAAGCGCACAAAACAGCCTGCCACAGCAAGAGCAGGGCGGAGGCCAGGCAGAACCGGCAGATAGATCTCCAGTTTAACTATGCCCCGAGGCACCAGAGGAGGAGTGAGGGTGAGTGGGGCTGGGGGCGAGGTGGACAGAAATGTATTCTTACTGCTTTGAAGGTTTTCAAGAGCATTTGGTGAACCTTTCCTAGCCAAGGAGAAATTCTTTTACAAAGAGGGTGATGTAGTAATAGGACAAGGGTCAATGGCCTTAAACTGAAAGAGGGGAGATTTAGATTAGATCTAAGGAAGAATTTTTTCACTCTGAGGGTGGTGAGGCACTGGCACAGGCTGCCCAGAGAAGCTGTGGCTGCCCCATCCCTGGAAGTGCTCAAGGCCAGGTTGGATGGGGCTTTGGGCAACCCGGTGTAGTGGAGGGTGTCCCTGCCCATGGCAGGGGGGTTGGAACTAGATGATCTTTGAGGTCCCTTCCAACCCAAACCATTCCATGATTCTGTGAAGCCTTGGAACAGGACCTTGAGAGGTTGTAGAGTTTGTCCTTGAAGATAACCAGAACTTGACCAGACAGGGCCCTGGGCAACCTAATATAGTTTCGGTGTTGTCCTTGCTTTGAGTGAGGGAGTGGAGCAGATGACATCCAGAGGTCTCTTCCTACCTAAATGGTTTTACATTTTTTTCCCCCCCCGTGTGTGGATTTAATTATGATAACATAATTTCAGGAAAATTGCTGACTTTCTTCTCTAGTTTGTAATGATGTGAATGACTTTTATATTACAGTTAATGCAATGCAGTGATGAACATGGAGCATGAGACCAGGGTAGCTTGTCCACGTAGGAGTGCAGAGATTGACATACATAGAAACTTCTCCTGTGTGGAACTGTATGTAGAGAGATCTCTGTATGAAAACACAATTACTCAAACCTCACGTCACAGGTTACAATGTGTGGAATCCATATACTGCAGAAGAGATTTCAGTGTAGCAATCCTGACTACTTAATCATAAGAAAGAAATCAAGATAGATTTGTTTGTAGTAGTGTATTTTTGCTTTTTCCAGGCATAGTGTGATGCCCAGAGTAGAGAAATAACTTTGAAAGTGATCAACCATCCCTCTTGTTTAGGTGTTATAGGTGGAGAGGACTATGAAGAAGTGGACAGGTATAACAGGCAGGGGAGGCCAGGCAGATTGGGTGGCCGAGGAAACCAGCAAAACAGAAGAGGCAGCTGGAGATACAAGAGGTGAGTAGCACAATGTTTTGTGGATTTTTGTTGCTGCTTAGTGGTGTTTTTTATTTGCCAATCAATGTATTGGTGGATCAGTAGGAAGGAAATGGGTACAAAATTTGGAAGCCCCCATAGTGAATCCCTGAAAGTAGAACTGGTTTTCAGTCTAGCCTACGTGCTGACTACATGCCTGGTCAAAGTGAAATGATTTTGTGTGAAGTTTCAACTCTCTGGAGTTGACCAAGGAAGCAAACAATGTAATCTTCAACATGTGGGTTAAATAGTCTGGATCCTAAATTAATTTCAGCAACTGTTTTTATGCTGACTTTTCTGAACCGGATTTTCTGAAGTAAGTGACAAGTGTTTGCAGGCTTAATGGACTTTTTGGTCTGGGTAGTCATGAAGTTCCTATTCTGAGGACCATGCTTTTCATTGAACTAACAGATCTCTGCGTGGCCAGACTGAGTGCTTTGGAAAAAGAGGAGGGTTAAGTATTGAAGTGAAATTTTGCATTTATATGTCTCTTCATCCACACAAGACCCAAGTGCTCTATACATACTGCACATCTATTTTTCTTCTCACTGGACGGCCAGCTGGTTCATTACTGATGATTTCACTGGGGGAAAAGGTCCATTTCTACACACTTATATGTTGATGTCGCATGTGGGTCGTGCATGTGTTGAAGGTTCATGACAAACCATGTTTCAAAGAATGACTGTGGCCTATAAGTGTGGTTTCATACGTTTGGAAATGAATGGGAGAGACAGGTGTCCCCATGCATCCTTGGGACTCTCTCTCCCAGTTCACTCCGTTTTTTTCTGGCCTGGATTGTTATTACCACATGTAGAATTTGCAAATCCAGGGGCGAAGGTTGCCTGTCTCACCGGCCAGTGCCAGGGCGTGTTGGAGTGGTGGGTTTGTTTTAACCTTCTCGGCAGGTGGCAGCACCAGATCAGGGACAGTCACAGGAGCTGACACCGCAGAGGTGAGAGCTGGAGGGAGACAAAGCTGCTCGGTAATCCTTCCTCTTTGACCAAGAAAATCTGCCCTCTTCTGTAGGGAAGAAGAAGACAGAGATGTTGCAGCAGCAGTCAGGGCATCTGTAGCAGCCAAACGGCAAGAGGAGAAAAAACGGGTAGAAGACAAAGAGGATAGAGGTAAAAAGGAGGACTTGAGGGATTCTGAAGTGCTCAGCTCCAAGCGTGTGCCAAAGTCTTCAAGTGATGCCACAGGTTAGTGTTGACCGCGTTCTGCAGCTGCAGGGGGGCACCGTGGGCCTGGAGATCAGCCTGGCCAACGCGGGGCTGGCCGTGCGTCCGTCTCCAAAGCTGGTGGACATGGATAGAGATGCAGAATCGTCATCCAGCAGCAGATTTGCAGTGAAGTGTGTCAGAGTGGGCTGGGATTCTTGCAGCAGGTTATACTTGAAATGGAGATGGGTAGAAATATCGAGTGCAATTAACGACGTCAGAATATGTGATATTCCATCCAAATCCATGTCATCTCAGAGCGCGCCATTGCCTACGCCAGCATGCCAGAACTGATTTATTGTGATGCTTGAGCTGAGTTTCCCCTTTTTTGAGAATAAGTTATTCCCAGTAAAAGTTAATAACTGGTGAAAGCAAACCTTTAATTGTTTTGAACCAGGTCCAGCTTGGGACAAATAAAGATGATGCAGTGGTGTTTGGATATTACTGTTGCTCCTGATCCATGTGCCACTGTTTTATTGCTCGTACAGTTGGATTCCCACTTAAAGATGATATGCTTCCACTGTGAACTGAGAGCTGCTGAGAGCTCTTGTCTGGTTGATGGGTACTGCTCAGCTGGGGATGATGAGCGAGGTTATCTCCCCCAGCTGCCTGCCCAGCTCGTGTCAAAACTGGTACCAGTCTGTCCATGAACTGCTGCGCTCCGCAGCACCGGATTTGGATTTTGAGGCAGATCTAAATTAAGAGTGAGTTATGTGTCAGTGTAAAATGACTTCCCGGGAGCTAACCGCTGAGCAGCGTGGGCACCCGTGCAGCAGAGGTGTGATGGACAGCTCAGAGGAGCAGCTTTCCAGGTGGAGAAGCACTGGCATACCTTATTCGGAGCGCTGAGGCTCTTATGAGTAGCCTGAACCTGGGCAGGCAGTTGAGGGCTAAGCTCTGGGAGCAGCATGGAGCAGACAGCTGGGGGCACTGGCATCTCGATCTCTAGAGGGTTCCCTCAGAAAGTACTTACCAGCCAATGTTTTGCTCCTGTAAAGTGTCATGAATTTCCTGTCTGCTATAGTCAGTCGCAGTGACATAATGGTGGATGCAGTTAATTGAAGGAAATAGTGATGCATGGGTTTAAATTGTCCTTTTGGAATGTCACAGTTAATGACATCATCAGCTGCTGACAATAGGACTTGTTAATGCTGCTGTCACGTTCATTGATAGCTTCCACTCTGAAATTCATGGATTTTAGTTGAAAGTGTTTCTTTGCTCTTTTTGTCAACACTCCAAAAGAAGCAGCAGCTAACGGAGCTTTAAGCCAAGATGACTTCCCAGCAATCGGTTCACCAGCAGGACCCCTACAAGGGTAAGTCTGTGCAAGGCTGCAGCAATGAGAAGGCAGATTTAGAAACTTTTTATGTTTTTATGTTTCTGGGGAAAATAATTTTACAGATTACTTCAACTACAAATGCTTCCCCTCTGCTCTGGCCCTCTTCTGCCTCAAGCTGCTTCTGTGCCAGTCCCCTGCATGAATGGCATCGGTCGTTGCTTCAGTTCATGGCTTGGGATCTTTGGTGGTGCCATTTCAGGGAAATTCTCAGTATTCTCTGTTCCAGCCATTTTTAACTCGACAGCTTATCTTGAAGGAGTCGTATACTGGGAATTTTAAAATTCATCATCTCCTGAAATCGGTGATGATTAGAACAGTGTCTTTGCAGGATGTGGCAGCGCGGGTGCGCCCGTGTGTACCCGTCTAGTCGAGGTGAGGTGTACGATAACACAGTGAGACTAGTGTGACCTCTTTGAGGAGACTCATTCCAGCCACAGTTTGCAAGCCTGAGGGCGTTTGCATCCTGTTCAGTTGGGTCAGTTGTGCCACTCTAGGTGATGGTTTGAGGAAGACTGCAGTCAGGCATGGAGCTCGTTGTGTAACGGGGTGCTTTTCCTTCCTCGCAGCTCTGCCCAGCTAGCACCAGTTAAGCTTAAAGAAGAAGATTTCCCAAGCTTGTCATCCTCTTCAGCACCCACCGTCTCTTCTGGGATGTCTTTGACATATACAGCGACTGCAAAGAAAACGGCTTTCCAAGAGGAGGATTTTCCAGCTCTAGTGTCCAAAATGAAGCCTAACAATAAAACAGTAACTAACATCACATCTGCGTGGAGCAATGGTTCCAGTAAAAACGTGGTCAAAGCCATTAGCAGCCCCTGTGTGAGCCAGCTAGCCAAAAAACCACCCTCCTTGAGCAGCACTAAAGGAAGTAAGAAGAGCAGTAAACTCCCCCAGTCGGACGATGAAGACGGCGGTAGCGGCTTGACGACCCAGGAGATCAGAAGCACGCCGACCATGTTCGATGTGTCGTCCTTGCTGGCAGCTTCTACCTCACAAACTTTTACGAGAGTGAGCAAGAAGAAGAAGATGGGAGTTGAGAAGCAGAGACCGTCATCCCCGCGCCCGTTGCAGGAGACGTCGTTTCCCAGGTCACCTGCTGAGAAGCCGCCGGAAGCAGAGCAGATGGCCAACGCGCCCTCTGCGCTTCACGCCCCCGACAGATCCGCAGCCATCATCAATGGTCACTCGGAAAAAGCATCAGCCATCTGCACTACACCCAAAGAGCCCCCTGGCCTTAAAAAGCCCGCAGTGACTAACAAATGCCCCTTACCTCAGGAAGACTTCCCAGCTCTTGGGAGCTCAGGATCAGCCAGAATGCCCCCGCCACCAGGTAAGTGCTGCCGGGCATGGCCAGCTCTCCTTGGGCACAGCTTGGAGCACTGTGGCAGGTGGGTGAGGTGCATCAACTGCTCCTTCTCTTTCTCTACAAGAAAGATGGGGAGAGGCTGTTCAGGAGGGCCAGTTGTGATAGGACAAGGGGTAATGGTTTTAAAATAGAGGGAGGTAGATTCAGATTGGATATTCGGAAAAGATTTTTTACCATGAGAGTTGTAGAACACTGGAACAGGTTGCCCAGAGAGGTGGTGGATGCTCCATCCCTGGAGATGTTCAAGGCCAGGTTGGACGAAGCCCTGAGCAACCTGATCTAGTTGGAGATATCCCTGTTCCTTGCAGGGGGGTTGGACTAGATGACCTTTGAAGGTCCCTTCCAGCCCTAACCATTCTATGATTCTGGCTCCCAGGTGAAGGGCAGTTTTGCCACCACGTGCTAGGTTTGAAAAGGCAGCCTGGGCGACGCCGGTGGGCTTGAAGGTCCTCTGTGAAACATGGTGGAAGCAGTGGCAGTGTTGGGATGCCTCTGCTCTGTGCAGCTGCAGGTGTCTGCTCTACCCATGACAGCTGTCTTTACCTGTGACAGCTTTTCTGATGAGTCGTGTCTGACACACGTCTGTGCTTTTGTGCTTCAAGATCTAGTTGGGAAGCCCCTGCGGGCCAAGGGATTCTCTCTTTGCTGGGACCTGTGCCTGCTGGTACTTGTCAGTTGGCTTGTTTGGCCACTTTTGTTCCATGTTTGCAGAGATGTAATGCCCTCGCTTGTAGTGGTGCCATAATCTTGCAAAACTGGAGTAACACACCGACAAACGTGACTTGCAGTGGTTTGCAGGAAAGCAGACTCACATCAGGAGGCGCTTGCGCAGCTGTTCTGTGCTGCTCTGCAGATGTTGCATGGTGGAGTACACCAGGACATGTGGTGCCTCGTGCTGTTGGACTTCTGGAGTGATTTCTCTTCACTTCAGTTATGGAAAAGTGTTTTTCATCAGGAGGTTTTTAAAATTATTTTCTATTGAAAAAGTAAATTAATAGTTCAAGTGGTTTCTTTGCAGAGTAACATCAGCCACTCTGAAGTGCTTCTTGACCTGACTGTTAAAGCCACAGATTTCTACCTGTCTAATTTTTAGTTTTTTACCAATCTAGTGATGTCTGCACTGCTGACTCCTCTTCTTGCTTGTGGAGAGGACATCAGCCCCCTGGTGTTAATTTTAGACAGTGGTACGTGGGTGCCACAGGTATGTGCTCTAACTTCCTGCCTGTTCTCTGCTTTCATTTAGGCTTTAACACTGTGGTGCTGTTAAAGAGTCCTCCTCCACCCCCGGGACTGTCGGTGCCTGTTAGTAAACCCCCTCCAGGTTTTGCTGTAATTCCATCCACCAATGTCTCCGAACCTGTCACTACATCTTTGAAAGAGTAAGTAAAAGTCCTTTGAGTTTGAGTTACACATTGCATCTCGGTGGTGGCATACGGGCTTCGAACACCACACGAAATACTCCGAGGGGATCTTTGGGAACAGGTGCCACCGCAGAGGCCAACCATGTAACGATTCCCGTTCTGGAGTCCCTTAGCAACTGAGGGCTGGATTCAGGAGAGTTGTGTCAGAGAATGCACGAGCGTTGGGTGGATGCAAGTCTGAGGAAATGAAAGCCTGAGCAGTGTGGCAGCTCAGACTTGTCTTTTCCAGATTTATCTGGAAATCTGCAGCTTCAACATACTCCTTAACCTTCCCACTGATTCTGTCTGAGCCCCAGAAGCAAGGTGCTGAAGCACGTTTTCCTTGGTGATCTCTAAATGCCTTCATTGCTCAGACCTTTCTAGTAGCTGGTCTATGGTCCGTGCCCTTCTGGGCTAGAGAGATGTTTATGGGAAAAGGGGAAGGGAAAACTTGTGTCTGTTTAATAAAGACATTTGTATTAATCTGCTCAGTTTTATTCATGGTGTAGGTCTTCATTGCCCACGTCTTTTTAGTGAACTTGGCTTACAAAGCAGCTAGTCAAGACTGTGTTGAACTTGCACCTTAAATATTCTTTCTGGGTAAAGCTGGAATCTGCTAAGTAATCCCACAGGACACATTTCATCATCCCATCAGGATAGCTATATGCTGCTTGTAGTAATGGTGCGTGTAGTTGGGTGGAGAAAGGGAGTGGGAAGTGGCAAAGGGAGTATAGAAGAGAATAGCCATATAATGTATATCCCACAGCATCTTTGTGTAACATGAAACGATGTCAAAGTCACTTTTGGTCTTCTCAAATGCAGGCCAAAGTCCTGTCACGGATCCTACTTGATACCTGAAAACTTTCAGCAAAGGAACATTCAGCTCATACAATCTATTAAAGAATTTCTTCAAAGCGATGAGTCCAAGTTCAATAAATTTAAAACTCATTCTGGGCAATTCAGACAGGTGAGTGGGCAAGAACCTTCGGATGGCTGAAACCTTCCTCTCTGGGAGAAAGTGAATCCCAGTGGGATTTTTTTTTTTATCATTATTATTTTGTTTTTTTCCTAATTATTACAATTCTCTTTTCACTGAAGGGTCTGATTTCGGCAGCCCAGTATTACAAAAGTTGCAGAGAGCTGCTTGGAGATAACTTCAAGAAAATTTTTAACGAATTATTGGTGTTGTTGCCAGACACAGTTAAGCAACAAGAACTGCTTTCTGCTCACAACGACTTCAGAATCAAAGAAAAACAAAGCTCCAACAAACCCAAAAAGAACAAAAAGAACGTTTGGCAGACGGACTCCAACTCCGATCTCGACTGCTGTATTTGCCCGACGTGTAAGCAAGTGCTGACTCAGCAGGACGTTGTCACCCATAAAGCTTTGCATATCGAGGATGAGGAGTTCCCCTCCCTACAAGCAATCAGCAGGATCATCAGTTAGCTTTTTGAAGACCAATAAAACAGTCTCTGTCTATGAATATGCACTTTTTGCAGTGAGTTTTGGCGGTGTGGCGTGGCCGAGCGTGGGTGCCAGTGGAGTAGCCGGGTGGCTGTCGGAGAGCCCTCCGTGCTGTTCCTCGGTGCTGGGCAAAGGGATCGCTGGACTGCGCCGTAGCTAAGTGACATCCAAAGCCTGAGCTTCCCAAATGCCCGAGTAGAGTTAGGCTGAGATCCCAGGGCGGGCAGGCAGGGAGCCACTTTTCTCCTGTGACATGCAATAGCTGGGAAAACACTTTCTGATCTGAACTCTGACAGGGGACGCAATAGGGGAATAAGCATCTGGTTTGGGTTTTTCTTTCTTTTTTTGGGGGGTGGGGGAAGATGATGGATCACTGAAATGAACGGAAGCAAAAGTGGCTTCCCTTATGATATTGTGATTTTATTTTATTTTTTGTGCTGTTTCTGTGACCACGAAGATCACAGTAGTCAGGGGTACAAAGGTGCAGAAAAGGACAAGATGCTCCTGGCTGGTGAGTAACCGTTACAGCTGCGTGTCTGGAAATGTTGGGCTGCTCATACAGCCAAGAGAATTCCTGTCTGAAAATGGAATTAATTCTACTACTTGAAGAACTGGACCGATCTGTGTGAGGAGTTGAACGGGAGATTTGAAGTTGCCTCTGACCTTTTATGTAACGTGTTCTTTAAAGAAACTTCTTTTGTAGCACTGCATGTAGAGTAACGTTAAGGCTTTACTTGTGTAAAGCACACTTCACCCTAATTTTATTTAATGACTGCCATATTCCTGATTTCTTGGATGTATTAATGGTGGTAGCTCCAGACGACAGCACACTGGGACATTAAATGCTGCTGATCACTGACCGTGTTTATCTGCAGTGCCTTTAAGTGCATTTATCTGTTTACAGTGCTCTGCACTAACAAGGATATTTTGTTCAGACTGCACGGAGCGTTTACATCCTGTACCTCCCATGGTGATACTGGTCTGAAGTAGCGTTGCTTACGTTGCTTGGGCATCCCTGAATTCCACCTCTCAGAGACAAGAGGGGAGTCGGGTCATCGTTTGAAGGAACTCCTCCGGCAGCGGCTGCGACGGGATGGAGTGACAGAGTCATCCCCACGTGCACTTCCATGGCTGTAATTCAGTGTCTGATTCTCTCCCATCCTGGCAGACCAGGTTTAGTTATTTTTTTAACATGTAGGACTAAAGCTGGAATTAATTTATGTAATTTTTAGTGACAGAACACTGCTTTTATGCAAGCATCGTTTCTATGAAATCGAGCTCAGAGTATTGCTGAAGAGCTAGTCCTGGCTACAACGTTTTCCTTGCCTTACACTTCTTATTTTTGCTTGCTCTCAGGCTGCAAAGCGCTTTTTTGTTTCTTTTTCCCAATAATTAGGACTGTTTGGAATACCTGAACGTGTTGTATTCAGCACGGGGGCCAGGCTGCACGCCCTGACAGGGGGATGGAGGGGGGATTGTTTGGCTGCATGGCTGTTCATAAAATGCATGAATACCTGGCAAGTAGTGACGCTTCCGTGTTCCTGCTCCGAGTCGGGTTCCTCGGGCGGAATGGGGGGCCGTGCCCGTGACAGTGCCCCCACCCCGCTGATGCCAGCGGCACGGGGGTTCGATGCCAGCTGCCCCCCCCACGCTTCTACTCAGCAATTGATCTACGCTGCCACCTCTTCCTAAATTTGTAAAGTTCAGAGGAAATGGAACGCATATCCTTACGTCTTCCCTTGATTTTTTTCAGTTAATTCCTTCTGGGTTAGCAGCTCGGGAATTCCCAGCAGGTGGGTGCTGCTGGAAGTTTCCTCGAGGCGATCGATCTCTTTGGCCCGATGATGCGGTTTCCTTGTTCCTTGTGCTCACCTGATTCAATAAAGTATTACCAAATTTTTTTCAGGCCCACTTCTGTTCATTTTTAACTCTTTATTGAAAATAAGTTGCAGTTGGTACACAGACACTGAAAATACATCATCACAGATTGTTCTCTCAAAAGATATTTTTATATATATATATAGTATATACAAAAGTTGTAAACATTTTTAACTGATTTCCATACACGGTCCACTTTACAATGCACATCAGCTTAGTGACAACTGCAACTCTTGGAAGCGGTCTGCATGTACAGAGGTATCTGCAAAAAAAACCCTTGACTTTGCAAACCACATTTGGTATCGGTTTGATATTCAAACGCTTAAAGAATCTGAGGTGTAAATGCGTATTGCAACAAAACGCAGGCAGCAGAACGGCGGTTTCAA